GAATCAGGCTCTTTGTACCATATTCTTCTATATCCATGGTGCTGTCCTCATAAAGCCCTTTGTAGCTGTTGAGGCACTGGTATATATTGACTAAAAATAGGTAGTTCCATTTGGAGAAAATCAACCCTATTATAAAATCTTTAGTGAAGTTCATTAAACTTTAGTTTAAACTTTAGGGCACCTAAATTCTCTGCAGACATTCTGACAACATTTCCATCCCACCTGGAAACAGGTACCAAATGTCTTAGAAGAGAGACAGCTGGCACAAATTTTTGCGCCCAGATTTTAAGTGTGGATTATTTCAGGGAACACCAGATAAGCTTCTGAACCTTTGGATGCTTTTGTAAACCAAATCTCTGAAGCTTTTCAGGCACAGCCATTGCTGACCATTACTAGTGATGAGCAAACATCAAGTGCCTGTCTACACCGTACATTTGTCTACACCAGAGGAGTGTAAATTCTAGGGTACATTAACATGTCACACACTAAGTAGCCCGTGTGGAATCTGCTGGTGCACACTAAAAGTTCCCAAGTGCATGTTAATATGATATTGTTCGAAACAGGACTACATTACTGCGCACTAGGGAATTTTAGTGCAGGCCGGCAGGGTTCACATGAGCTAGTTAGTGTGCGACATGCTAGCGCGCACTAGAATTTACACCCCTCTGGTGCAGACAAATGCACCTTGTAGACGTGCCCTTAATTTGGGTTGGTTCAAATAACCAACCCAGACCTTGGATACCTACCTGAAGCTTATTGAACATATCTGAACTTTCCGAGTCTGCAAAACTGGGCTCGCACTGTAACCATATCAGGTTCTCTGATGAGATTTCTGGCACTTTGGCTTCCAGCTGGAAATCTCCAGTGAAGAAACTCCCATGGTTATTTTGGCACTTACAGTTCCACACATCATGACTGTGATCATAAAACAAATGTATTTGATACCTTTCCTGGACCCCAAATCAGGGTTTTTTTAAAAACATGTTTAATTCTAGAAATAAGAGGAGGAGTTCTTGTTTACATAAGTTGTGGGCAAGCCAGCTTTTATCCCCATATGGCAAAACTTCAGGTTAGTGTAACAGGTAGTTTCACAGAAGGAGGCCTGAGGTCTGCATTCAAAAATGTGTGCATGATTGCAGTTCATGTGATTGTCCTTGAAAATGGCTATTTAGACAGGCGCCTGTCCAGTTTTTGCATACATAATTTTTCTCACTTACAGCACACACAAATGTAGGCATTCTTTCAAAATTAATCCCAAAGGCTTAATTGTACCCTTGCATGTAGCTTTGTAAATCCTGATTTCAGTAGGGTTGCCTTAGTGATAACTGAGGCCAAAAATTGGCCCAAAATAAATAAACAACCAAGAAGAAACTTAGCTCAAGTCAAAAATAGTTATGGAGCGATTGATTCCATTCATAGCTTTTCTGAATGAAACAGGTGCTATCAGGACTTTCTCTGGAGATTTTTCTCTTGCTTCTTTTACCTTTTCTATTTGTCTGTCTCTCTGCAGAGGTTGTGGAACAGCTGGGACTCGTGGAGATGAGGCTGAGAGCGCTTTGGCTGAAGCCCTGTTGCTGCTGACTTAGATGCAGATTGCTTGCCTGGCTTGAAATTCACCTCTTTGCCCAGGACCAGCACAAGATTTGTGGACCACTTAGGTACCTGGGGCTTCAATTGGATTTGCATACTGCACACATCTTATGCTGATCCTTGAATTACACCAAGGAGAGAAAATTATAAATCCCAGAGGAAATCACGGCTCTGGGGGGGTATATTCTCCATCAGCGGAACACAACTTGAGAAGTTAGTAGTTTTTTGTTACTAGCTTACCCAAGGCTTTGTGCAGGGTTTGATACACAAATTCAACTGAGTTTAATGGGAGCTGGGAGCTAAAATTCCTGCAACTCTAAAAATATTAGGGTATGTGTGGCTTTTTTTGCACAACAGAAGCTGTTTCTGGAAGCTTGTGTTTATCACTGTCTCTGAGAAGTGCAGATCAGGAGCACTGAGCTGTTCACCAGGCTGAAATTCTGCACAGAATTTTTCTGATTGCATTTTACTTGGGACAAGAGCAAAGCCAAAAACCAGTGAAAATATTTGTATTCTGGATTCAATTGCTAAATCCAAGTGGGAAACCATTCAGGGGAAAAAAAGATGTAATGAGCTCAGAACAAATGTAATATGCTTAAGTGCTTAATTTTTTTTTCTCTTGAAAACATCTCCTTTGGCTCTAATTAAACTCTCCCTAGCCTCCTGGGCTTTGGAGGACTTTTGAACAGCAACAGAAGAAAGATCTTCCTTGCTAGATTTATGTAAAATTTCTTGCAGTTCTATGTGCAAAAGCTTCAAGAAATATTATGGCATGTGACAGTCTAGCCTGTGGTTCTTACTTTCTGTGAAAATACTGCCAATGTTAATATTTAGTATTCTACATTTTTTTTCCTGCTCAATATAATTCACTTGTTCCTGAGCTACAACCTCCCAGTTCTGATGTGGAAGGGATTTGCTCAAATATATCTTACTCGTGTTTATTGGGAATCATTAAATTGACCAAGGATGGATGATGTGTGAGATTGGGGATATTATTTTTATTACAATATCACCTAGAGGCCCCAGTTGAAATTAGGCCCTCCGTTGTGATAGGCACTATACGAGTATAAATTGAGAGAGAGTCTCTGCCTTAAAGAGATTACCATCTAAATAGACAAACAGGCAAAGAATAGGAGAAAAACAATCCTAATTTTACTGATTGGGAAGTGAGGCACAGAGAGATTAAGTGACTTGCCCAAAATCACAGAGTAAGCCTGTGACAGGTCTGGAATTGCACACACATCTTCTAAATCCTAATCCAGTGCTTTAACCACAAGGCCAGACTACCTTAGATTCCAGCTCTACAGTCTGTACCTGTTGGACACTGGGAGACACCAGTGTTAGAATAAACTAGTTTGTTTATTCTATGAGGTAAGTAGAAGTGAGCTTTTGGGAAGACAAAATTTGCTTCCCATGAAAGCACAGAGCCCTCCTCTGTCAGAAAGCCATTTGCCAGGAGTATATGAGAACACAGTACTGATGCTGAGTCTCTCATGTAGCTCTTGTACATGGTAAGTTGCAGGTCAGGCCCTTGAATCACATGTGGACTGACTACAGAGTTTCCTTCCTGGGGATACACCAGAGATGTGTTCACTATAAGATCCTTCAATGCAGTGACAGGTTTCAGAGTAGCAGCCATATTAGTCTGTATCCGCAAAAAGAACAGGAGAACTTGTGGCACCTTAGAGACTAGTGAATTTATTAGAGCATAAGCTTTCGTGGGCTACAGCCCACTTCATCGGATGCACAGAACTTACTTATAGTAAGATATCACTACAAAAGTTTTTTTCTCCTGATGATAATAGCTCATCTTAACTAATTAGCCTCTCACAGTTTGTATGGTAACTTCCAACTTATCTGTATGTATGCGTGTTTTATATATATATATTACTAAATGTTCCATTCTATGCATCCGATGAAGTGGGCTGTAGTCCACGAAAGCTTATGCTCTAATAAATTTGTTAGTCTCTGAGGTGCCACAAGTACTCCTGTTCTTTTTTCAATGCAGTGCTTATTCTAGCGATTACTAGCTCAGATAAGGTACGTTACACATGACACCACCTAATGGCTGAATGGTAGAATACAGTTTAGCATCCCATTACAGGGTCAGATACAATACTCTTTATGCAAAGTTTTCATACTCTCTAAGCCTATGTCTATACTTAAAATGCTACAGCAGCACAATGGTAGCACTACAGCTGTAGCAGTTTTCCTGTCACTGTATTTAATCCACCTCCCCGCGAGGCAATAGCTTGGCAACAGAAGAATTCGTCCGTCAACCTAGCACTGAATGCATTGGGAGTTAGGTCTGCATAGCTACCTCTCTCTGGGCTGCTGGGGGGGCCTCAAAGAGAAGAGATTTGCACTCCAATCTGAGGGTTGACTTGAAAATAGATTAGTGACTTAAGTAGCCGCTCTAGGGCAACACAATTGCAATCAGCACTGGGGCTTGATCTAAGGCCTAGTGAAGCCAGTGCAATTCAATGGGATTTGGATCAGGCCCTGAGTGACCTGAGGGTAAGTGCCCTTTCTCTCAGATAGGGTCGCCAGGTGTCCAGTTTTCGACCGGAATGCCCGGTTGAAAAGGGACCCTGGTGGCTCTGATCAGCACTGCTGACCAGACCGTTAAAAGTACGGTCAGCAGGGCTAAGGCAGGCTCCTTGCCTGCCGTGGCTCCGCGCGGCTCCTGGAAGCAGCAGCATGTCCCCCCTCCTTCACCCCAAACCCCTCATCCTTGGCCCCACCCCAGAGCCCTTCCTGCACCCCAAACCCCTCATCCCTGGCCCCACCCTGGAGCCTGCACCCCCAGCTGGAGCCCTCACCCCCTTCCACACCCCAATCCCATGAGCCAGTCCGGTGAAAATGAACGAGTGAGTGAGGGTGGGGAGAGCAAGCGACAGAGGGAGGGGGGATGGAGTGAGCAGCGGCGGGGCTTTGGAGAAGGGGAGGGGCCTCAGAGAGGGGGCAGGGCAAGGGTGTTCGGTTTTGTGCAAGTAGAAAGTTGGCAACCCTACTCTCAGAGTGTGGATAAAATACACAATCCTGTGTAAAGGAGGAGAAATAACTGTGCGATGTGGTGATTTGATTTACTAAAATCTCACTCTGGCTTGCATGGTGCTCAAATAGTGTGGAAGCAGAACAGAGTTTCTTAGATCTTGCACTATATAATTCTCTAAATAGTTCATTCTGATGTCCTCACATAAGCAGACTAGGTACTAATTCCGCTCATAGATATGCATTTTTCTTGTCTCTGTTGCAGGGAAAGAGAGTGGCTATTTTTCCTTACAAAGTAGCTTTCATTTACAGAAGCAGCGAGAAAGGAAAAACAGAACTTTAATTCAGTTAAAATCATTGCTGCTTAATTACTCTGATGTAAATTAATTTTGTAATTGGGACAATCATTTCATTACCTGGATTTGGTTTTCCAGTGTGATATTGTGTTGAGTTGAAAAACCTGCAATAAGAAACATTAAGCATCACTAAAACCTAATGTTCACATTTTGTAGGCTGAGATTATGTAGCAACACAGCCTATGAAGTTGTGTACTACCATAAGCAATCTGCAAAATAGATAGGGCCAGATCCTCAGCTGGTGTAACTAGACATAGCTTCATTGACTTCAGTTGTGCTATGCCAATTTCACCAGTAGAGGATTTGGCCCTAAGGCACTTTCCAACCCAAAGTCATTCACACAATAGTCACTAAACATTTTGCTGACTTCATGTTCTGCGGCTCTGGGAGACTGCCTTGCCATCCTGTAATACAAAGCTTGCTCTGCTAGTTGCTCATCCTTTATGAACCATTTGGAGAAGACAGGTTTCAGAGTAGCAGCCGTGTTAGTCTGTATCCGCAAAAAGAAAAGGAGTACTTGTGGCACCTTAGAGACTAACAAATGTATTTGAGCATAAGCTTTCGTGAGCTACAGCTCACTTCATCGGATTTTGTTTTGTTTTGTTTTGTTTTTCCACTGCATGCATCCGACGAAGTGAGCTGTAGGTCACGAAAACTTATGCTCAAATACATTTGTTAGTCTCTAAGGTGCCACAAATACTCCTTTTCTTTTTTTGGAGAAGACAGCAACTCACTTACATCAATGGACAAGTTTACATGTTGCCTGGAGACATTTGCTTTTCACACGCTCAGGCAAGTTTAGCAAAACACTGATTACCCATTAATAATATCTCAGTGGAACTGAGCAGGCCTTCTTAGTCTTACCTGCAATTCCAAAGAATTAATTTCAGGAAGGAACTGTGGTGGGGTTTTTTGTTTTTTGTATTTTTAAGGTTTTGCTATATATTTTAAAAGTCCAAGCAAACAGAAACAGTCAAACAAGCAGAGCTAGAAAATCAAAGTAACCTAACCTCCAGGCTAGTTCTACATCCCCATAAAGATGATCAGGCACAGCGCTAACCTCAGTTCAGTGTTACAGTGAAACTTAATTCCTGTTACATTAAACATCTCCCGATGCTCTGTCTTGGTCCAGTGCGCTGCACAGGGTATTATTCTGTAAGGTGTGGTATACACTCGACTCCCTTCCACGTCAGTGGGAGCTGTGCATGCTCACTACCGGGCAGAGGTTCTCTTTGTAGGACAGTTACTAATTTTACAGTTAACATTGTTCAAAATGCAGCATAAACAGAAAAGTAAATAGAGACTTACTCTTGGATTATCGGTATAAGTTGTGTGCCAAGATCCTCACAATAAAACCATCTTTCAAACAGGACATTAGTTGATTCTCCAACATAATATCTGACAAAGTAACAACATTAGTAAATGATTCCTTTGCATAATGGTTATTTTTTTTAAAAAATAGCATCTTTAGAGTTAATGCAATGAGCTACATTTTATTAATAAGGATAGTGCATTAGAGGGACAGTGTTTTCTAGTGGCTAGCATGGAGAGTCAGGACTCTTCGGTCCTATTTTCAGCTCTAACACAGTCTTGCGGAGCAACCTTGGATAAGTCACCGAGAGTGTGCTCCACAAAGGGACTTAAGTGTTGCAGCACTGAGTGTCATGGTGGCTAACTTCTAAGCACCTAAAAAAACAAAAACCAACCACAGGAACAACACTGGGATCCACAAAGCAGTTATGTGTCTGGCTTCCCTATACAGTGAACGGTGAGAGATAGGCACCTGAGAAAGCAATCCACAAAAAGCCAACATGCTAGATGGGAAGCTGTCTAAGCTAGCCACTGGGAGATGCTGAGGAGATGGGTGTGTGTTAAGCCCTGCCCCTCTCACAGAGATAGGCACCTCCTGGTAGCCTGGATTTAAGTGTCTATCTGTGCCTAGTGATCCATGAATGGGAAACTGTCCTGGAGTCAGGCTGCTTAGGTTCTTTGGGTGTTTCTTGTGGGAATGAGTGAGGCTGCCATATTGAAGGCCCCTGTTTGAAGAGAATTAAGTTAACGCAAACTGGGAACCTTTCAGTTCACACCCACAGCAGCCACATGGGGGAGTTACAGAGCACCACTTTGGTGTATGCTGCTGTTCACACCCCTGTAGTCCGAGCTGTCAGGCAGGGTAGACAAACCCTTTATTGATAGTGCTGTGCCTAATAATCTTAACAGGGATTTAGAAATAGCCTGGGAGGTTGGCCACTTTGAATTTCTAGCTTTGCTTGAATGTTTTTCTTTGCCTGGACACTTTTAATTTATATAAAAATAATATATAATATGTGAAAAATTCAGTGTTACGATTAAACTTAATTCCAGTGCAGCCTCAAAAGTGGGATATGGTGCCTGGGAATATCAGAATAGTGAAAGTGAGATCCATGTTAGATGCATCAAATACTGGACTGTAAGTTCCTACTCTTGATTTCTGTCATTGGTTGGCAGCGACAATGACCACTTTCTTATCATTAAGGTTTTGCTGATTACCCATACAGGCATTAAACATGCAATCTGCATTATTTGTTAGAGTAGCTATTTACTGAAAAGTGTACTTGAATACAATTTAGTTTGCCAATTGCAAACAAGATGTTGTTTTTTAATTCCTTTAATTTCTCCACAGGTTATGAAAGCAAGAATATATCAGTCCATGAATCAACAACTCTACATGAGCTTCTTAGAAACCATATGCCCCCTCTGGCCCAACTTGATTATCATACACATTGTAAGGAGAGTGATCACTTTAGATAAGCTATTACCAGCAGGAGAGCGGGGTGGGAGGAGGTATTTTTTCATGCTTTGTGTGTATAAAAAGATCTTCTACACTTTCCACAGTATGCATCCGATGAAGTGAGCTGTAGCTCACGAAAGCTTATGCTCAAATAAATTGGTTAGTCTCTAAGGTTCCACAAGTACTCCTTTTCTTTTTGTGAATACAGACTAACACGGCTGTTACTCTGAAACCTCTCTAACATTTACAGACTACATCTGGGAAACAGACGTTTTAACCAGGAAAGGTGATTCTATTTAATGTTGGTGAACAACTTCAGTTTTAAACTACAAATATACAAGGTTTCTTCAAGTATTAGTCTATTGTGTTTCCAGTTCAATGTATCTTTGGTTTCTGGAAATAAACCAAGTGACATTTTTTATAAATGCAGATGACTCTGAGCTGTTTTGAAAGGAAGATACAGTGCTGTAGCTGAACAGTGTTTCAAGTATATTGGGTGTGCCTGGAACTCAGAATCCATTCAGGTGACTTTCTGAAAGGTGCTATTCTCAGTTCTTTTTTCATTCTCTAGACTTCCCAGTTGAACAAATTTATTCCTCTGGCTCAGCATATCTACTATAGGGAGTTCTTTTGGCTACTGTGACATGCCCCAATAGAAAGATCACAGCTGTTCAATGTCATGTTTTCCTGAATGTAGCTAATGAAAAAACTGGTAACTCTGTTACTGCTATTGTTTAAGCCTTCTGTAAATCACATGAATAGCCAAAAACTCAGCTTGGTCAGTCTTCAGGGGCGGCAGGTTTGTGTAATTTTTGGTGGTGCCCAAGTCGTAGTGTCCCCCCCCCCCCCAACACACACCTGCCTAAGGCTCTGGGAGGGAGTTTGGGTGCAGGCTCGGGGCTGGGGCAGGAGGTTGGGGTGTGTGGGGGGTGAGGGGTACAGTGCTTACCTCGGGCAGCTCTTGTAAGTGACCCGCACCCCCCTCTGGCAGCGGCTCCTAGGTTGGGGGGCTGGGGGGCTCCCTGCGCCGCTGTCCGCAGGCACCGCCCCCGCAGCTCCCATTGGCCGCAGTTCCAATGGCAGAATCTGTGCTGGGGCAGGGGCAGCACGCGGAGACACCCCCCACAGGGGCTGCAGGGACATGCTGGCCGCTTCCTAGAGTGGCGCGCCGTGCGGAGTGAGGGCGGGCAGGAAGCTGCTTTAGCACCGCTGCGCTGCCGGTGGGGGCGGTGCGGGCCCCCGAGCCCTTGTAAATCACCCCGGGGGCCAGGAGATGCTCCGGGGGAGGCACACAGGGGCAGCAGGCGGGGCCAGGGAAGAGACCCAGCCCCGAACATTGGTGGAGCCGGGCCCCGTGCTCTGAATATTCTTGGAGCACAGCACCATGGGCCCATACAACTCGCCGCCCGTCAGTCTTATACAGACAGTAACAGCAATCCCCTCCTAAATTGGCCCAAGTCACTGCTGTGACTTGCATTGTTAAACACTTAACAAATTCAGCAGAGCTAAAGACCAAAGCTTGATCCTGTTCCCAGTGAAGTCAACAGTAAAATTCCTATTGATTTCAATGGGAGCGTGAGCAACACTGAAAAACACAGAGCCATTCTGAGCCACCGTTGATTTAGAGATTTTTGTCTAATAGTTAGAGGTGTAGACATACGTTCTGTTCCTGACTCTGCCGCTCAGAAATTGTGTAAATTTGGCCAAGTCTCCGCTATCTCTCTATCTTTTGGTTTTTAAATGAAATTAACGATACAGTGTGCCAATAATCTTGTAAACCTTGCTTGTTTCATGGTTTTAAAGTATTCTGAGATCCTTAGATGAAAGTTAATATGTAAGTGCAAACATATGACAGATTTGTATAAAACATTTCAATGAGGAACACATTAGCTAACCCATTTTCTAAATTGTGTGTGTAATAAATACATGAAATTTCCATTTATAATTTACCAGGAAAGAAATAGAATACAATATTGTAGTGAAACAATAACTGGTTCTCATATTTGAAGTTTAACAGATTAGCTCTATGTCCAAAGTAGAAAACTACATTTCACCTGAGTCCATCTGTTTCTGTGTTTAGCCTTTTCCTCTCGATCACGAGTCCCACAGTATTTGCATACCTCTGAGGAGAATGTGGTATCCTGGCAGGTAGGAGAAACATCTGCCCAGACAAAGATATTGGAAACAATAAATATAACAGTGTCATGTAGGTTTCTTTTCTTTTTTGCAGGCCTTTGTTCACCCTCCCACTTTTCCTCTATTCCTGTTGAGATGATGTTTCTTGGCAACTGAGCGCACGTTGATACCAGCAGCAAAACAGATGCTGTTGCTAGCTTTCTCAGGCTGGTGTCTTGTTAATGACAAGCTTTCATTCAGCAGCGGGCACTGCCTTCTCAGATATTGAGCTGCTCTCTTGCCAGCTGTATCATTCATGGCTGTTAGACAATCAAAATGAAGAACCTACCTGAGATCTAGAAAGTTACTATACTTTCTGAGCAGTGGTAAGTAAAATTAAAGGAAAGCTTGTTGTTAGCACAACAGGATTCCTAAATTAGTCCTCCATGACTATTTCTCCAACATGACAAGTGCTTGTCATTGACTGACAGGGCATGTGGTTCTCTCCAGACCCAACTGACTAATAGGACGTACTTGATCTGAGAGAAAGAAGACAAACTGTGTGTGGGTCTGTGACTGCAGTTTGGAAATAAACTTGTTTTCCAGCAGCTACCTGCCTAAGTAGGCTAGTACTATGGTTAAACCCGGAGACTTTGTAAATAAATGAACAAGGATTTGCCCCAATGTCCTTGGACAAAATGTTCCCTCCTCCACACTATTTGCAGTGTTGTGTCTGGCTGCCATTTTATATCCCAGTTGTTGCTGCTTTTCACTGAAATTTTATGTGCAATGTATAGTTTGTGTAGAGGTTTGGTACCTTTTAGAATGGAATTTATTATATTGAATTCAAAATATTATTAATCATGACCTGATCATTATTTTATGGAATGCAGTGGAAGGATGATTTGAAATAATTGTTATGAGAGTCATTTAACACATGCAATAATGACAAGAACAAACCCCAGTTTACCTCCCCTTCTCTGATGTGGATATCTCTGTGGTTTCCATTTTCAATTATCTTCAAGCACATGTCTCCTTCCACTTGGTAAAATAACTGATATGTAGAAAAAAAGACATTAAGGCATGTGAGTTTACTAACAAGGCTCTTTCCTGCAATCCTTTGATCCCTAAGTCCTTAAGGATGTCTTGACAAGGGGGCGGGGCTAAGTCAGGGAGAACAGAGGTTTAAAAAGCCAGCTCCTAAGCAACCAGAGGAGGTAGCAATCAGGGGAATTTTGTGAGAGAGTGTAGATAGGGAGCATGAGAGCCAGAAACACCTAACAAATATACTCCAAACTTAGACCAAAAGCTCACCCCCCTGCCCCCAAACAACGAACAAACAAATAATCCCCACCTTCAAAGAGTACCAATATTGCAGGCAGAATTCCATCAGCAGGGTGGGGGGGCTACCCGCTTTATTGCACTGAATGCAGAATGTATGAGTACCTGCTTTGTGGAGGGGAGGGATATGTGTGCATTTGATGCAAGCAACTCATGCCCCTCAGGGTCTCAGTACAGTCTCCGGAGGATGGAGTGGCTGAACTAGAAGAGCTAAGGGAGGCACAGAGATGTATAGCTGAGACACAGTAGAGCGGTCCCATTCTGAGTCTAGACCAGCTGTGTGCTGTGGAGGAGGATGAAAGTCTTGGGGAAGGAGACATCAAGCTGGAGAGGAAGGAAACGATCCCATAGTTGGGACCCTCCTCCCAGATGATGTCATGGTATCCTCTTGCACAGACCCCAGTTATTAGGAAGAGACAGGTAATAGTAATGAGGGATTGGATTATTAGAAATATAGATAGTTGGGTTTGTGATGAGTAGGAGAACCACGTGGTGAACTGCCTGCCAGGTGCGTAGGTTATGCATCTAGATAGACCAGTGGTCACCAACCTGTCGATCCTGGAGACTCTCCCCGCTGATTGCAATCTCCAGCCACAGCAGCGCAGCAGGGGCCTGACTCTAAGGCAGGCTCCCTGCCTGCCGCGGCCCCATGCCACTCCCAGAAGCAGCCAGCATGCCCGCAGTGGACCCGCCGGGGAGGAGGGGCAAGAGTCTCCACACCCTGCTCCTGCCTGCAAGCACCACCCCCACAGCTCCCAGGAACAGGGGCAGTACCTGCAGAGAGGGGCAGCATGCGGAGCCACGTGCCTCCCCCAGGGGCCACAGAGACATGTTGGCCCCTTCCGGGAGCAGCATGGCCACATGGTGCACTACTGGCTGGCAGGGTGAGGGGGTGGCCTGGCTCGTGATGGGGAGGAGGTGCCGATGTGCCTGAGTGGGGCCAAGCCCCGCTGCACTGCTGACTGGGAGCCGACCGAGTTAAGTGCCCCCCTCCTGGAGCCAGCACCCCAAATTTCCTCCTACCCCAGCTCTGCCCCCCCTCCCAGATCCAGCACCCCATATCCCCTCCTGCACCCCAACCCCCTGCCCCAGCCCTGCCCCCCCCAGAGCCAGCACCCCATGCCCCTTCCTGCACCCCAACCCCCTGCCCCAGTCCTGACCCCCCTCCCAGAGCTTGCACCCCCTCACTCCTTCCTGCACCTCAACCCCCGTCCCAGGTTCAGCCCAGTGCCTCCTCCCACATTCCAACCCCCTGCCCCAGCCCAGTGAAAGTAAGTGAGGGGGGGCAAGAGCGAGCAACGGGTGGGGGGGATGGACTGAGTGAGGCGGGGCCTCAGGGAAGGGGCGGGGTAGATCCTGGGTTGCCCTTAAATTCAAAAAGTGATCTTGGGCATAAAAAAAGGTTGGAGACCACTGAGATAGACTTACATGTAGTGCTGGGGAGGAGCTGGTGGTTGTGGTACATGTAGGTACCAGTGGCATAGAGAAAGGTAGGAGAGAAATCCTGGAGGCCAAATTTAGGCTGCTAGGCAAGAGATTAAAGTTCAGGACCTCCATGGTAGCATTCTCTGAAATGCTTCCAGTTCCAAGTAAAAGGCCAGTTAGACAGGACAGGCAGAACTGCAGGATCTCAATGCATGGATGAGATAATGGTGTTTGGAGGAGGAATTTTGATTACTAGGAATTGGGAAACTTTTGGGAAAGGAGGAGCCTATATAGAAAGGATGGGCTCCACCTAAATCAAAATGGAACCAGGTTGCTGGCATGTCAAATTAAAATAGTTGTAGGGGGATTTTTAAACTAAGGGTTGTGGGAAAGCTGACAGGTGCAGAGGAGCACGTGGTTTGGACAGAGACATCCTTTGGGGGAAAATTTATTAATGGGGATACTCTATATCACAGGGAAGGGGAAAGGACAGAATTTGATAAAAGACAGGTAGGTACTGAAAGGAAACAGTCAAACAAAAAAGAATCCCATTCAATTACACCACGTGAAGGCAGATAACCCAATTTTGACAAATTTTATAAGTGCTAAAACGGGTGAACTTGAGTGCCTTGTATTAGATGAGGATATTGATATAATAGGCATTACAGAAATGTGGTGAAACCGTGACAGTGAAAGGGACATGGTTATACCAGGGTACAAAATATATAGCAATGACAGAGTAGGTTGTGCTGGTGGGAGGAGTGGCACTATATGTGAAAGAAAGGGCACAGAGTCAAATATAGTAAACATTTTCAATGAATCAAACTATACCATAGAATCTGCATGGCTAGAAATTCCATGTATAGCAGTATGAATGTACTACCGACCACCTAACCACAATGGTGATGGTGATTGTGAAATGTTCAGAGAGCTTAGAGAGGCTACAAAAACAGAAAGCCCAATAATAAAGGGGGATTTCAACTATCCCCATATTGACTGGGGAGATGTCATCTCAGAGATTAAATTTCTAGACACTATTAATGACTGCTTCTTGGAGCAGCTAGTCAGGGAACCCACTACGGGAGAGGCAGTTCTTGATTTAGTTTTAGGTGGAGCACAGAATCTGGTCTAAGAGGTGAGTATAGCTGAACTGCTCAGTAATAGTGACTATAATGTAATTAAATTGAACATCCTTGTAAGAGAAAAAATGCCAAAGAAACCCACCACAGTAGCATTTAACTTCAAAAAGGGCAACTACACAAAAATTAGGATGATAGTTAAATGGAAATTAAAAGAAAGAGTCACAAGAGTGAAATGCCTGCAAGCTGCATGGAAAGTATTTTAAAACACCATAATAGAGGCTCAAACTAACCATAACCCAAATAAATAAAAAAACAGTAAGAGGATCAAAAAAAAATGCCACCGTGGCTAAACAACAGAGTAAAAGAGGTGGTTAAAGGCAAAAGGACATTCTTTAAAAATTGGAAATCAAATCCTACTGAGGAAAATAGAAAAGAGCATAAACTCTGGCAAGAAAATTGAAAAGTATAATGAGGTGGGCCAAAAAAAGAATTGAAGAGCAACTAGCAAAATACACAATAACAAACAGCAATTTTTTAATTACATCAGAAGTACGAAGCCTGCCGAACAATCAGTGGGGCCACTGGATAATCAAGGTTCCAAAGGAGCACTCAAGGAATACAAGGCCATTGCGGAAAAGCTAAATGAATTCTTTGCATCGGTCTTCACTGCAGAGGATGTGAGGGAAATTCCCACACCTGAGCCATTCTTTTTAGGTGACAAATCTGGGGAACTGTCCCAGACTGAGGTGTCACTAGAGGAGGTTTTGGAACAAACTGATAAAATTAAACAGTAACTTTACTTCTCTCACTGAGCCCACCCTCTGACTTAACCAACAGTCCCTCCCCGCCACTGTAACTGCTTCCATATGGCTTACCTTTGCCCTCAGACTCACAAACCGGATAGGTATCTAAATGGATACAATTGTTGGTGCTGTTAATTTTACTGATAATATCTGCCCTGCCCTGGCCAGAGCCATGGGGAGGAAGGGCCAAGCTCTTAGCCCCCCCACCCCACCCCAGCTGAGGCCACAGAGGGGCTGAGAGCAGTGAGCGGGGGCATGGCCTTGACCAGAAGAGGCAGGGCAGGGGGCTAGCCTCCCCAGGGGGAAGCTTCTGAAATGTTCACCTAGCCATGGTCTGAATCCCTTTATTGTCCTTGTATTCCATTTAACCTTCCCCCCGTCATTTTTCTTTGGTCTGGTGTCAGTGAGTGATTGTCTAAAATGCCACAATTGCCTTCACTCACAAGGCCAATGGCTCATTCTACAGCATAAAGTGACTCGAGGGGAAGATTGCTCTATAACGCATCCCTTCAAAGAGAGAGATCTTTTGGGGGGGTTTTAAGACTGATCATGACTATCACAAAGGCCTGTTCATTGGCCATGCTGGTAATTGAATAGTAATTTCCGAAGTGCTCTCTTTGGTAGCCATATTTTGCTGATAGCTGCTGCTCAGAGTGCTGCTGCAGAACATTACCATGGAAACATAGACTAGGAAGACGGAAAGGGCCACGGTCCGCTAATGTCCAGCGCCAGGAAATCACTCAGCCATTAGGAACAGAGGATGTAACTGTGCCTAACTCCCAACTTTAATGCTGCGACTAAAAATAAAAAACTCAAAGTGTCCTGATTGTAAAATTCCTCCCTGATCGCAAAGTTGTTCTGTTTATATCTCTATGGGTGAATTTCACCCTTGTTCAGAGGTAGGGTTGCCAACTTTCCAATTGCACAAAACCAAACATCCTTGCCATGCCCCTGCCATGCCTCTTTCCCGAGGTCCCGCCCCTCCTCTGAAGCCCCATCCCCCACTCATCCAGCCCCCGCCCTCTGTCGCTCACTCTCCCCCACCCTCACTCACTTTAAATGGGCTGGGTTAGGGGGTTGGAGTGTGGGAGGGGGTGAGGGCTCCAGCTGGGGGTGCTGGCTCTGGGATGGGGCCAGAAATTAGGGATTCAGGGTGTGGGAGGGGGCTCTGGGCTGGGGCAGGGAGTTGGGGAGTGCAAGGGGGTGGGGCTCCAGCTGGAGGTGCAGGCTCTGGAGTAGGACTGGGAATGAGGGTTGTGGGGTGGAGGATGGGGCTGGGGCCAAGGGGTTGGGAGTGTGGGAGTGGGCTCAGGGCTGGGCGTTGAGGTGCGGGAGGGGGTGGGGGCTCCAGAAGGGAGTTTGGATGTGGGAGGGGGCTCAGGGCCGGGGTGTGGGAGGGGGTG